TGCATAAACTTGGGTTCCCAGATGTTCTTGGGCTGCAACTCCCAGAAGCCTTCACCACTAGCTGTGCTGGTCAGGATTTCTGGGAGTTGTAGTTCAAGAACATCTGGAGACCCAAGGTTGGGACCTAAACGAAGCAGCAACCTATTATTAAATAATTAAAAAAACCCTCAGATCTGTTAATTGTGAGCAACGTACAGCTGACCCATGCATTTGATTCTTTAAATATGTGCTTTACCAATTTGTTTCCAGCAGGGGAAAAAATCCTTCTTCTCCCCTACAAGACCCCTCTGAAAAACAGCTGTACAACCCTAAATAAATCGGCATCTTCAAATATTTATATCGTTCAATAAATTTTCTGAGCACCTTGCAAAAGAAACAGATGCACATGAGTTCCTCAGAAGTCAAACAGACAAGAGAAATTTTCTGCCACAAGTTGACAATTGGAAATCGCATTTAGGATGATGGAGGAGGACGGGCAACACCCCAGGTTCAATTTTTTTGCTCACACTGCTGTGAAGCACAAGAAATGATGTTGGCTTAGTTACAATCTTCTGATCCTATTTTGTAAGGCTGTTGTGAGAATATAATAAAGAGAAATTATACACCTTGCCTAGAGCTCCTTGTATAGATAGATAGATAGATAGATAGATAGATAGATAGATAGATAGATAGATAGATAGATAGATAGATAGATAGATAGATAGATAGATAGATAGATAGATAGATAGATAGATAGATGATAATTGAATTTATTAAAGATGTATATGATCAATGTTCAAATTTAATATGTAAAAAATTGCAAAAATAATGGGGAGTGGTGCTACATTTTGTAGGTGACACAGACTGGCAAAGATGAAAATACTAAGATTTCCTCTTATTTGGGACTTTTTTACCACCACCCCCCGTCAACTTGTAAGTTTCCGCCACTTTATCTTAACATCATCCCTGTGAGGTTGGAAGACAGTATTATTCATATTTTTTGTCTCCTCTGTTTGGCTTCAACGGGTTGGAGGTGCAAACAGGAGTAGCTGCCATGACTGACACCCTGTTAACCTAAAATAGCCCTTTATCTCTACCTTCTCGTTGCCCATGTCAAAATCTATTGCAAAACGAAATCTCAATTTATTCTCTCCTGTGTCTGGGGTGTGCTTATTTTTGGCCACCAGCAGTCGCTGCCAACGATATTGCAAACAGCGTACGGGCCTGCCAACGAGATTACAAGCAGGTTACAGGGGCATCCCGTGCTCCTTTTGCACACCCAGCCAAAGGAGCATGGCTTGTGTGGAAAGCAAAATAAATAAATGTGCAGCTCGCCACCCTCCTCCCGCGTGAGCCCTTGGCACTCTCCTCTGATTGGGCACGCCTCCCTTCAGCTCTCCAGGCCATTGGCCTGTCCCAGAGTGAGTCCCCTCAAGGTCTCCGGTCATTGGCCAGGTCTCATGTCAGCTTCTCCCCAGTTTGTGAGATGTTGCATGGCTGCAGGCGCTGGGCTGATGTGGAACCAGCGAAGTGTCAGCCAATGGCTGCTTAATCTGAACATGGTGTGCTGGAAAGGAGATCAGTCCGCCCTTCCACTGAGAGAGAGAGAATTCTCTGTTTGTTAGGCTGTCTTTGTAAAAAAAAAAAAAGGAACAAAAATCACATACACATACATAAATCATAGGCTACAAAGATTCACAAACATTAAAAAGATATGAAAAGGAATCACTTAAAAAAAAAATCACACCCTGAAAAGATGCATAAACATTACAGCCTGAAAAGGAATATCAGATACACACAGACATGTATTTTAAAATTTTCATCTGCAAAGGTTCACCGCCATGACCAACATGTGTAACAAAAACGACACCAGCTGTACATACTGAAATAAATCAAAGATTATTTCTAGAAGCCGTTTCTTTCTCCAAAACCAACTGCATAGCTCCAACCCATTTTTCTAAAGAACAGGGGAAGCGAGTGGACCAAGGTCATAGACGAGATAGTTGCCCAGAGAGAGAGAGAGAGAGAGAGAGAAAGTGACTGGGCTTACCAGGTATATACAGTATCTTGATTAGTTGTGCGAACTGGAAGTCAATTCCAATTCTGCCAATTCTGGGTGTTGCTGTCAGAGCACGAATCGAGGCATGATATTGTAGTGATGATAATGAGAGAGACCTACACCCCAAGGCAGACAGGTAGAGATATTCAAAAGCAGATTATGACTAGTGCACATATGCTCAGTGGAAGCCTAAGTACATTCAGAGGGGTGAATAAAAAATGTGCCAATTTTCCATCATTGTCCAGGCAAAAAGGAGCTGGTTAGGATACAAACCTGTTTCTTAAAAAGAAATTGAGCGGGGAGTTGGACTCAGTGGCCTCATAGGCCCCCATTCCAACTCCATTATTCTATGATTTTACAAACTGCAATGAAATTATGTTTCCGTGATGAAAATAAGGACCCCGGAAAGGACTGGGAATCAATAGGAGGTGAACCAACCAAGGGGCTTGACCTTATAAAATGTTAAAAATGTGACCAAGCTTTGTGTTCGCTTTAAATGACACTTTTTTTTCCTTTTTCCTTCAAAGGGGATCAATGTTGGTTACAAAAGGGCAAATTCAATCTCTCCCCCCCTCCTCAAATCCCAAAAGAAGGAGCGAAACCCCCAAGTTTGGAAAGTGCGGCTTTAAATTTTGGAGAAGTCGGTGTCCGCCCCACCTCCTGCGCTGCCAAATCTCCCTTTCCAGCAGATTGACAATCTCTGGCTCCCTTCCTCCCCAGCGCATCGCCTGAGCCACGCTGGCGCACCTGCGCGGACTCTTTTCTCTCCTCCGGCTCCCTCCTCCAATTTCGGCGGAAGCAGACAACGTGGCGTACGTTCGAACGGCGGTGAGGCGTCCTTGAAAAGCGGCGCCCGGGAGGCGGAGCTCCGCAGTCTCGCTCGAGCGCTGGCAGCGTCCGGGTGTTGGTGCCGTTCGTGCCGGATTGACGCGCGTTTGCCGCCTTTAACCCGACCTCGCCATGTCCGGGGAACTGGAGATCATGGAGTCGCAGGTGATGTGGGAACCGGACTCCAAACGGAACACCCATATGGATCAGTTCCGGGCAGCCGTAGCGGATGCTTATGGGATCCGCCTGGGTGAGTCTTGCCTGCGGGGTGAGCATCATCACCACCATCATCCCAGTCTTAATTAAAAAAATAAAATCACCATGATAGCGCAAGGATCCTGGGGAGGGTGCTTTCTTGCTTCCACGGCAGATGCATCCTCTCCCCTTTGCATTTATATTTCTGTGCCTGTTTTGCATAAGCAACGCCTAAGGAGGGGTCAACATTGCAAAATAACACCTCTATTGCAGATCTTGGGTGATAGAAATTGCTGAAACAAATTGAGCTATGGGAGGAGCGGGATCGAGTCCTTTAAGGTAGGAGTTTGGCTTTCTGGATGTGGGGGTGCAGGAATATTGCACCTTTATTAGGCATTGGTCTCCTCTATTTGGCCCTGATGGGTAAATCAAGCTTTCATGTTTAGGGGCAGTCTATCTTGGACAAGCTGTTGGGGACGGGTGGGTGGGGGAAGGATGCTTCCTTGTATAATAAAATTTCAGCGCGACACCGGCGAAGCGTTTGCTGCAAACCCAAATGAAAAAAATGGTCCAGATTTGAATGAATCCCAGGTAGAAGGAAAGGTCTGTTAAATCCTTGAGGCAGGGAGTTCCGTCTGTGTCCCGAGGAACCCGTGCGGTCACAGAAAAGGCCCTTACATGTTTGATGCCAGTCTTCAGAGGAGAAGCCTGGAACGTCCTGAGTCTTCGCTGTAGCTGAGGCTTAAACCCTAAAGACGACAGAGGTGATAATGTTGCTTTGAAATGTGTGCTTCTCCAAACAGATGTTTAAATTGATCCAACAGGACAGCTCTGCTTTTGTCGATAGGTTGATTTCGCCATACCCTGTTTCTTCCAAAGAAAACTCCATGCACGTTGAGCATCCGTTCCTGTTTCTACCTAGACCTCTTAAAAACCAAACCATAGTCAAATTAATAACCTGTCTCCGGTTATTCATCAGTGATATAGCAATAAGTGTAAATGATAAAGTCCTCCCTCTGCACTTTTTTCTCTTCAAAGAGATCTTCCCATCTGTGCCCAGATAACTGAGATTTAAGGAGCTGTTCTAACGTTGTGTTCAGGCCTTTAAAAGTGACTTTTCCTATGGGCTGAAGATACCATAGAAGCAGGTTCTTAGAAACAGGGTATGGTGTTCTGGACAGGCGTGATCAAGATGGACAGGACTTTCGGATCTGTCAGGATCCCATCACTACTTTCAGAACATATTTTTATCTTCAGCAACAACAGTCATAGAGACGGGATGAAGCTCATGGTTAAGAGAGCAACGGTTCTACCTTGGGAAGGTTTTAGGTATGTTCAGCACCTCTTTGACCTCTCCAGACAGAGCTTTAGAAAAATCCCCACCTGGAAGCGTTGGCCAGCTGCTGCCAGCCCGAGTTGGCAGCACTAGGCTAGTTGGACCAATGGGTCTGACGAGGCAAGTTGTGATAACCCGTGAGAATGAAAACAAAACTTGAGATGTTAAGTGTATTTCGGTTGCACTCACGCATCCCTAGGAAGAGCGCAGGGAGAAGCCCATCATATTTTGGATTCCAGGCGAACATTTTTCTTTATGGATAAGTTCGAAATGGTGTAATTTTGGACAGGAACTTACAGACCATCGCTCTCTTGCTGCTAGGATTCATTCTGACGGTGCCTATCAGTTTGTCAAGAGCGTATAATTTATGCTGTTGTCCTGATGTTGCAGTTGATGCTTCTTGGGCAGTGGTCTCCCAACCCTGGGGCCTCCAGATGTTCTTGGACTTCAACTCCCAGAAATCCTGGCCAACAGAGGTGGTGTTGAAGGCTTCTGGGAGTTGTAGTCCAAGAACATCTAGAGGCCCAAGGTTGGAGACCACTGCTCTAGTGCAGTGTTTACGAAGTAGGCAAGGAGTTAGACCCAAGAGTAGACTAACAGAGCCAACAAGATCTCCATAACTATAGATTTGAGAGGTTTGGCCATTCATTCCCTTGATAGTTCATCCATTCTGGTTGCGGATTGAGCCATCGGATGTAGCCTGAAGAAAACAGGGCACTGTCTTAAACAGAGAAGAACTTGCTGGTCCACCAACTTGCAGTCCATTTGGGATTTTACGCTGAAGTCTTACCTGGACACTGATTGAGACGTGCTTGAAGCTGAGCTGGGAATTTTCTGCATGAGATATATGGGTTCCACCCGTGCCCTCCCCAGGCTTATCTCATTCTCGTCGTGCCCGGAACAGGTTCCCGTAAGCGTCTTATAAATAATAATTGTGTGCTGTCAAGTCAATTCTGACTTACGGTGGCTCTTTTTCACGGTTTCCAGGCTTGTCCAGATATTCATGGCTACCGTTCCCTTCTTTTGGGGGGGCCATCCTGGGGACTGTGCAGCTTGCCCTAAGCCACACCTGCTGGTTCTGTTCACAGGAGACACTCGGAACAGGTTCCCGTAAGCGTCTTATAAATAATAATTGTGTGCTGTCAAGTCAATTCTGACTTACGGTGGCTCTTTTTCACGGTTTCCAGGCTTGTCCAGATATTTATGGCTACCGTTCCCTTCTTTTGGGGGGGCCATCCTGGGGACTGTGCAGCTTGCCCTAAGCCACACATGCTGGTTCTGTTCACAGGAGACACCGCAGGGACTCTTATAACAATTTAAATCCAGTAAATACAAAACAATTAAAAATACAGTGCTCTAAAAATTGCCATCAGGACCTACAATTGATATTATTTCAATTAAAAAGTGAATGCCACCTATCTACCAAAAGCAGTTTACAAATATAATGGGATATGAAGATATAAGCTCACGGTAGCAGTAGAACGGGAGAAAGCAAAACAAAAATAGCCATAGTGGTAATAAATAGTAGCAGCCAAAGGTAAGGCAACTGAAGCGAGTGTTCAAATACTGGAAGTTTCTCTCCTCTTGTACTGTTTGAGGATTTTACTGAAATACAGCCGTTTTACCTCTCTTTCAGCCAACTATAATGAATTGTACCATTGGTCGGTAGAGCATTATTCGGATTTTTGGGAAGAATTTTGGAAGTTCAGTGGCATCGTTTTCTCCCGCCTGTATGATGAGGTAAGCCGTTAGGGTGTTTCATCCTTCACCCTAATTGCAAAATCACTTTGGGTAAACAAAGCGTCTGCCTTGTCAAGCGAGTGTGGAGGCGAATATCTGAACCAAAGGAATGAAGATGAATCTCTTACCCATAGACACACAGCGTCCGTACCTCGCTCCAGAAGGAAGGCCTTTTCAAGCAGCTTGCCTATTGTCAGTTTTAAAAAGGCAAGAAAGACCCTGCTCTCAAGTGTACAGTCTTTAAAAAGGTGCAGCATGAGAGGAAAAAGCAGGGTGAGGGAGAAGGAAAAATAAAGCACAGGTCCTTCATGATTTGAGATCCTGCAGAATGATGGAACGTCTGCTGGACGATGGGAATGATGAAGCTGGCTTTTTAGGAAGGCTAGCCGTGGCCGGCTTTCTTCCTCCAGCTTCATCCGGCCTCGTGACTCAGCACCGGGATGTGCTGTCCACTGAGTGTGTGACGTGCCTCCAGCAGAAAATGAGGCTGTCAGAGCACGGGAACTGGCTCAATGTTCTCACATGTCCGTTTGTCCCTGGAGGACACATTCGCCAAGTGACGAAGCAGCCCTTCGTCGGCAGGATCTTAAGGAGATCGGACACGATCGGTCCGTGTTTGGGTTTGCGTTGCCACAGCTGACTTGGGAGCAAACCCCTGTGCGTTTGAGCTTTAAATGAAAATCACATTTCAAACTAGAAGATGCTGTTGTTGTTGCGTGCTGTCAAGTCGCCTCTGACATACAGCGACTTTGTGATTGAGCAACCTCCAAACTGTCCTCTCCTCCACAGCCCTGCTCAGTTCTTGTAGACTCGAGGTTTCCTTTAGGGCAGTGGTCCCCAACTTTGGGCCTCCAGATGTTCTTGGACTTCAACTCCCAGAAATCCTGGCCAGCAGTGGTGGTGATGAAGGTCTCTAGGAGTTGTAATCCAAGAACATCTGGAGGCCCAAGGTTGGGGACCACTGCTTTAAGGAGTCAGTCCATCATGTGTTTTGTCCTCCTCTTTTCCTGCGGTCTTCCACCTTTCCTAACGTTATTGTCTTTTTCCAGAGAATCCTGCCTTTGCATGATATAGAAGCTGTGGGCAGGGTTTTCTTGATACTGATCAGGCCCGGAATTTGGGAATGTTCTCCCTCCTTCTCAACAATCGAGATCTTGCAGAGAGCATGGCCAGAGAGGATTCTGGGAGATACAGTCCCAAAAAAGTAACTTTCTCCAGCTCCGATCAGATTGGGCACGATTTCCCAGGAGCTCCTGATGATTCCCTGCAACTTTTATGTGAGGACAGCGGGCTACAGGAGGGTTGAAACTCTGTGGTGCTCTGGGTGTAGATTCGTGTGGTTTTGAGATTAGAGATATGTTAAGCAATGAGACATATAGCCTTTCCAAGCCATTTTGCCGGCTGAGGTGGAGCGTCAAATGGTGTCCTCCCCTCCCTGACTCAAGGTTTTTAGGGCTTCGAAGTGCTTCCTTAAAACAGAAGTGAAATTAGGTCAAAAAAGGAGGGATCATGGTCTTTTGCTCTTCAACTGGGCAACGAAATCTCTCTATTTGACAGTAAGAAGGGGCAGGTCTGTATTATCCAGCAATTAGGAAAGTTAATATTTTTTGAATCATTAATTCCCAGAATCTCCCAGACAATGCGGGTGTTGGTCGTTAAGCGAGGCACCACTGTATTTTTTGAATCAGTAATTCCCAGAATCTCCCAGACAACGTGGGTGTTGATGGTGCTGATTCAGGGTCCAATGTATATGCCCCCCCCACATCAGTTTTTCCAAGCTCTGGATCATATGGTAATAATCATGTCTTGTCAAGTCAATTCTGCCTTGTGGCAAGCCTTCTCAGGGTTTCAGGTAGAGAGTACTCTGAAGTGGTTTACTGTTCCTGTCTTCTAGAGGTGCCCTAGGACTGTGCAGCTTGCCCAAGGCTACGCGGGCTGGTTCGTTTCCAGAGTGGGGAATCGAACTCCCAACCTCTCCTGGTTCAGCCGCGCGAGAGAGGGACCTCAACCGCTGAGCTATCCAGCCAGCCTCCGATCATATGATAGGTGAAGAGAAACGGAGGGACAGATTTTTAAGAGGGAAAAGATTATTTCAAAGAAAGCAAGTTTTTAAAACATTATAGAATGTGTATGTCGATATAGTGAAATTCCTCTTGGTTTAGTCATCAGACGGGATCAAGGATCTAACGGTCTGGAGTGGTTTAGGTAAAGCATGGGCCGTAACATGTTTCTTGGACTTCAACTCCCAGCATGGCCTACTTATAGCTCTCCAAGCAAGACAGATGGGAGTTGTAGTCCATCTAAATCTGAAGGGTTGAGCTTGGCTTGGCTGGGATTTGGGGGCGCGTGATCTGTTTCTGCCCGTAATACATACGGATTGCTTTATGATTAAGAAGCGGTGCTTTTTGGAGGGTTTCCGAAGATATTTTTCTTTTTTTTTTGGTCAGGTGGTCGATCCGTCGAAGGGTGTTGCGGACGTCCCGGAGTGGTTTAAAGGCAGCCGGCTGAACTATGCGGAGAATCTCTTGAAGCACACAGAGAACGATAAGATCGCCCTCTATGCGGCACGTGAGTAGCAGGGGTCTTATTGATCTGATCCCTGCTTGTGAGAACTCATTGAGGGGCGTAGGGGTCTGGATTTGTGGAGAAGAGGACTCACCTGCTAGGTGCATCCTAAACAAGCACGCCTAAAGTCCTGTAAGAAGAGCTGCGTTGGATCAGACCGGAGACTTGTGTCCTCTGGCGTTTTCCACCACCCATTGGCTACCCCGGTTGCTCTGGGTATCTCTCCCCCCAGCCAAATTTGTAACTTTTATTTGTCACTGATCCTCAAAGGCGTTCATGATCCTTCTGTCCCTGTAAAGTAGGTTTATGGCGAGCGGCAAGAAGTCACCCACTGTGTTTTGTGGCCCAAGCCTGCGTTTCTCCTGCTGTAGACCAATACAGCATGTGATCTGTCCGCCCTTGTGGCTGTCCTAGTGTGTGTGTGTGGATTCTGGGAGTTGTAGTCTGAGGAAGGGACTAATGATAACCCACTCCATGGGTTATCAGTTAGATTTCCCCCTCAATGATCCCCCTGCTTAGCCTTGTGCTTCTTTGAGCGCTGCTGCAGGAGTGCCATTTAATCCGTCCGGGCTTCTAGATTGCAATCAATGCCCAAACCAGTTTCTGGACCCTCCAGTGGTGTGTCTTTTGTCAAACCTGCTCTGCTCCCCATCAGGTCTTTCTCTGGCTCTTGAGCAACCCATGTGCTTGCAGAACCACGATGTCTCCTCCCCTCCCTCCCTCTTTCTGTCCCTTGCAGCAGAGCCTCCTTTACCTTCACCTCTTCACCGACAGCTGTAGGCGTTCAATGAGCATCTTGTTTCAACACAGACTTGACTTTCAGTCCACTAACATTGCCTGGGTTTGCTTAGATGCCTCCATTTTAATCAAGTTCGGTACCTTCAACTTCTTAAAATGGGATGGGCAGGATGCTAGCATCTGGATTTTATTATTTATTAGATTTAGATACCACCCATCTAGAACATGTCTACTCTGGGCGGTTTACATATAACATAAAAATAAACAGCTCTTGGCATTCCCTGCTGTAGGCTGTGTTGGCTGAGGATGGTGGGAGTTACAGTCACCCTTTTAAAACCTCTGGAGTGGATAGTTGTGTGTCATTAGAAAAAACTTCCAAGACATGTTGCCCTTTGGTCGAGCTGGTCAACAGCTCCCATCGTCCTCAGCAGATTTATTAGTCTCTGTGCACAGGAGGATACGCTTGAAGCTCAACATGGCCAAGTAGCACCATGTCTGAAAGGTGCCGTGAGACCTGATGTGGTGTGGTGGTTAGAGTGAGGAACAGAGACTCGGGAAACCAGACTTCCAGTTTCCCCTGAGCCCTGAAACTCCCCAGATGTCCTCTGGCCGCTCATTTCCTGTTGGCCTGACCTACCTTACAGGGTTCTTGTGAGGATAAAAGAGGGAAGGGGAATATTCTGTACTGACCAGATCTCTTAAAAGCCAGAGGGAAAGCTTTCCTGGAGAGAGAGGTCTTGGCCTGCTTGCAGAAGGACAGCCAAGATGGGGCCCGCCGGCTTCTAGTGGGGGGGAGTTCCAATGTCTGGCCACAACCAATCCTTCTGAAGGGAGGAAGGCAGTGTTCTCTTCCAAAGCTGGTCTGCCGCATCATCACATTGCATCATCAGAAGGGACCAAATTTTGCCACGGATCTTCTTGGAGGCCAAGCAACTGTGATGCAGCAGTTCATGACTAAGCTTCATTCTTTTCTGGCAACAACCAAGCCCCCCC